ATATATATGATAATTTTTGGAGCAAGTGATTTAGGCTATATCCAGTTTTGTGATATTTGCAACATTGCAACGTGTAGGATTATAGTGCCTGATAAAACTCATAGCATTTAGATGCTCAAAATTCACTCTTTGCAGGAAGTTTTAAATTCTCAGTGGTGGCAAACTATGGCACACACATGTGCTGCAGCCAGCTGTTTGTCATCATTGAAAGCTCTAAAAGGTTCGCCTTCGCTGGTATATGTCAACCATGTCTTTGTACCATTAGAGTTTCTACCATTTCTGGGACAACTACATCAAAGTGTCTAGGGCTAAGACTAGCTTACTTGTGTCTAGCAGGCGTGAGTCTCTGGATTTGATCCTCAGCAATGAAAAAAGAAAAATCTAGAACAACCTTCCTTATCCGTTTGACAATATAGTTACAAAGACTGCTAGGATTTGACTGTAATATTTCTCTCCTCCAGTTGGTGTTGTCATTGAACAGATGATACATTCTAACTTTCTGCATTTCACATTTATTGAATACATTTTAGGTCATGGCACCATGCTGGACCCTAGGAATATAAAGATGAAAAAAAACTAAGGCCTGCTCTAAAAGATATTTACCATCTAGACCAGTGGTGCAAACCTGCTGCACACATATTTGTTTTTCTTTTAAGACATAAGATGTTAATGTAGAGTTTTTTTTTCTAAACAAAAACCTCAGTGTTCAGGTTTAATTGCAGTGTTGGCACTTTGAGATAAATAAGTGGGTTTTGGTTTTGCAGTTGGTTCCTCAGTCTGTAAAAGGTTTGCCATCACAGACCAAAATTCTTAAGTTTTGGTTTATGTAAATGAGATAGCAGTTCTGAGCTCAGATTTCTTTAGCAGGAATATCTGTATGTGTGAAAGGAGTAATGTAGTTTAATTGTCTCTGTTAGGTCAGTCCACTTCTGCCTGGTGGTAGAACCTTCAAAACTGCTAAAATAAAATTTTCAGAAAAGTAGAATCATGACTTTTGGTGTAAATGTGTTGATGAGGTCATCGTGTGTCAATAATTTCAATTCATCTACTTGAAGGATTTAGTAGTATATTAAAGCTACTCATATTTACATATGAGTACTCGTAGACCATTTAATAAAACAAGGTTAAGATTATGGATTAGATACAAGTTTAACATCCTGCAAGAGCACAGAGGATTAAGTTTTGGGTTATCTTTTCCTCTAGATAGAAATTATTTACATCTCTACCAGCCAAACTTCTGTAAATAAACTTTACAGATTTGTAAAATAGCCTAGTCAATTAAGTGATTGAAGCTTCATGCAGAATAGTGTACTGAAAAACAATATTCTTTTGCTTGGTTTCAAGTTTTGGCTGATTTCTGCGAAGGTTGATTGGGTGTGTGAAGGGGCAAAATTACCAGTGTTGACATTGAAAATGCAAGAGGTGATCACTTCTGAAATCCATACACTAAAAGTAGAATGACAGAGGGAAGATTAGCATTAGCCCTGTGCAAGGATGAGCAAATTCATGAAACAGTCCATTTAAGAAAAAGAAATCCCAGCACTTGGTAGGCTGAGGCAGATCCTATCCCCCCAAATAAATAAATAAATACATACATACATAAAAAAGAGAATTGCGGTATTTCTTAGCATTTTGTTTGTTTGCTCTTTATCTTTTATTTTATTTTCTTCTGCTGGGCATCACTGATCTACACTCCCAGTTTCTTTAAAACAAAACGTCACTCAAAGCATCTAAAAACATGTAGAGAGCTACAACCAAAGTGACGTGACGCTACTAATGGATAATACATGGATTGTTCGTGTTACTGCTAAATTATGTATCTTCCCTAAAAGAGCCAACAACTTAAATGCTTTCACTACTACTCTCCAAGAATATTAAAGTTCTCATATTACTTGGGGGAGAAAGCATCAGATGTATTTGTAAATGTAGTTTATTATCTTTGTCTTTGAAGTGCCTTCTGTGCTTTGTGTATGTACTACTTGATTTATCTGAGATAAATCCTCATTCTTCACATGGGAGATGTACTTTAAAATCATTTTGTCAAGGTTTTCAGACTCTTATATTTCCTTTGTAGGTATTTATAAAGAAGAAAAAAAAAGGTGTTGCTTACCAGGCTAGCCATGAAAAAGATAACGTCTCACCATTTGTAGTTAGAAATGTCAGAGAGAGATAGATAGCATTGGTTGAATTCCTGGGCCTAATTTGATTTGGATTAGATACCAACCTCCCTACACTGTGACGGTGTGCTGCTAGATATCTGTCTAAAAGGCAAGGAATGTGAGAGAAGATCTGGGTTAATTAATGGCAGTTATAGCAAGGAAAAAAGTTACGGACTTTGACTGAGAAATGTTCTTGTGAAATCTGAACTATTCTAGTCCTTTGTACTATGTCTCTTGGAAGTTTTAGAGTACTGTAAAAAGTATAGAGTGATTAGAAGATACATTACAAAGTATCTCCTACATGCTGGGCACTATTCCTAATAAAGCTTGCATTCAAAATGACTGGCAGAAAAGCCTGGGGAGACAAAGTCATTATTATCTGAAAGATCAATAAGAATTAATGAAACAAAGAGGGAGAAGATATTTGAGGCAGAGGGAAAAGTAGAAATAGAACTTGTTTTAAAGAAGGAGAGAAGAAGGAGATGATGTCAATATGGTAAACTATATATGTAGACCAAGATAAAGTCCCTATCTAGGACTAGAAAGTCCGTAGGGTTATCATGTATGTAGTAGAGCAATTAGATTACCTTGATCAAAGTTGCTTTTTGAAAAGTTCACACCAAGTGAAAGCCAGAAACTAATAGAGATCTTGTGATTTTTATGACACGAGGCTTGCTCTGAATTTCCTATGGCCACTAAATGTAACAATAGAAGGAATGCAAGGGAATCATTTGGAATTATTCCGAACAAGTAATGACCCAAACTGACCCAAGGGGTTCAGCCAGAACTGGATGAGCATTAAAACTGCATTTTAACTTGCTGCATTTAGCTCTGTCAGTCATGATTTATTAGCCTTTTTCTATTTTCAGTTTAATTTTGGTATGGTATATTTGGAGCAATAGTATTCCATTAACGTGTTTTATGTTGAGTATCCAAAGCATTACCTGAGTTACCACTTGACATAAATCAAATATATGTCTTTTGCATTAACCATGGCCTCTCTTTCAAGTGAATAGTAGTTTGAATATATTCTCTGTTAGCCTGTATGTTTGAATGAGGAAGGAATTTTAATGTAACTAATGGATTTAGCATTATATCATGTAGTAAAATTAAAAATTAACAACCTAAAATTCTTACTTTTCATAAAAATATGTGATAATTAAGTAAAAGCATTTTGAAATGTATAAGGTATTATGTAATTCACCATTTTTCCCCCTCTTGAAGACAGGGTCTTGCTTTGTAGTTCAGGCTGGCCGTAAACTCACTGTGTAGCCCAGGCTGGCCTCAAAGTTGCAGAGATCTTCCTGCCTCAGCCTCCCAAGTACTGGGATTATAGGTATGCCTTGTCACACTGGGCCTCACATTTTAATGTGTATTAGTGAAGCAGCACAAATGAAAATAGCATAAAAGTCTATGTAGGAGCACTAGTATTAGCTAAAGTTTACTCTAGTTTGGTTCATTAAACCATTTTTGTAAACTCCATCTCTACCTGTTACTTGCAAAACACTGTAACTCTTTTTTACCTGATGCATTAGTACCATCCAATAGTTAATTCTACCTTCTTGAAGTCCTTATTTGGCTTCCCAAACACCAAACTTCTGGGTTTTTAGATATTCCTTCTGGTTTTTTAGATACTGTACTCTTTGTAGGTCTTATGTTTTGATTGTTCTTCCTCTTCCTAACCACATCATTCTTACTTCCCTAGATCTTAGTTGTTATAGATGTGTTTTTCTTTCCTTTTCTTCTTCCTTCTTACTTCCTCTTTCTCCTTCCTTCTATCCATCCATCCATAGTAGGAATTGAATTCAGGGCCTGTGTACTGAGCTACATCTCCAATTGTTTTATCTTCACTACTGCTACTACTACTACTACTACTACTACTACTACTACTACTACTACTACTACAGTATTACTATTTTGAGACAGGGTTTGCTAAGTTGCCCAGGTGGGAATCAAACGTGTGAGTCTCCTGCTCATTTTCTGGTATTACAGGTGTGCACCACCACTTGTGGCTTTTCTCTTTTTATTTTTTCCCCCTTCCTTTCCCTTCTCTTCTCTTGCCTTCCTTTCTCTCATTTTCCCTTTCTCCTTCCTTTTTTAACCCCCCCCTTCCTCCTGTTCTTCCGTGCTAAGGATTGAACCTGAACCTTGTATATACTAGGCAAGTGCTTTACCACTGCGCTATATATCCCCAGCTCTCAATTCATTTTCCTACTTCAGACCCCTCTCCTAAAATGCAGCTTTCATCTTATATCTTGATATTTCCACATAGATGTGTGATAGGCATTTCAACCAATACTGAATTCCTCTTGTCCCTAGAGCTTGCTGCTTTTGTAGTGGTTCCCTATCAGTAAATGTCTACTCCAGCCTTCCAGTTATTCAAACTAAAAATCTTCAGTTATTTTTGTATCTTGTCTTTTCATTCTACACATCCAATCTGCCAGCAAATCAAATCCTTTTAACTCTACTTCAAGCTAAAACTATAACGAGTCACCATTTCAGACTGTTCTTCTATCACCTAGAACCAAATCATCATTGCCAGTCTCCTGGATTATTGAAATAGCTTCTTAACTGGTCTCTTCACTCTTGATCCATTTGGTTTTTTTTTGTTTTGTTTTGTTTTGTTTTCTCAGCACAGTAGAGATAAGTGAGGTCATGTCACTCTTCCATTCAAAACTGTTAGTGCTTTGCAGAATAAAAATCAAATGTCCTCTTAATGGCCCACTCTGCCCTCTTATATTCTGATGCTTCCCTCAGCTGCCTGTAACTCTGCTCTTACCCCATACTTATTCCTGTAACACCTCTGACATGTGCTAGCTTCAGGACTTCTGTACTTGGTGTATCTTCTTCCTGGAACACCCTTTCTTCAGATAATCATGCAGCCAGCCTTTTTTTCTCCTTTAGATCTTTCTAGCCATACATCATCTCCCTTCCCTGCAGCCCATCTAGAGCTGCTACACCTGCTGTGGGATTTTCCGACATATTCACAGCGTACCCCAAATCCAGCTCATCATTTCCAGTGTAAGTGGTGGTCCCTAACCAGAAGCTCAGTCATTGACCTTTCCTGTCTCTCACACTCAACTTACATCCAATCACTGACCCCTGATGACACTTCCTCCTAAATTAAGAGTTTTCTAACTTCTTTGATATGTATCCCCACAAGAACTTTGAAAAACTAGTTCCTTTATGTTGACATCTAACAATTTTCATTTTAAGTGTAAGTAGTAGTTGTAAAGGATATAATTTTGTATGTGTTATAAATACTAATGGTTTTAAAGTGAAACAGTTCAATCTTAAATGTATATAGTAGAATCTACCAAAATAATTTTATATTCACTATCATCCCTTTAAAATAGACATGACAAAGTGCATCTTCAACAGTTGGGAATTTTACATTATTTTCTCTGTGAACTTTTCATCTCACTTGTACATAATTAAAATTTTAGATTTTTAAAAGTCTACGATCCCTTCATTGTATTTATTTCTTTATAATAGCAAAATATCTATACATTGAATTATTTAAAAATTTCTGTATGACCATAAAGCTTTAAAAACTTTTAGGCAGATGTGATGGTGCTCTCAGTAACTTAGTGACCTAGCAAGGCCCTGTCTCAAAAAAATTTTAAGGACGGGGGACAAGTGGGAAGGAACATAGTTCAGCACAGAAGCCCTGGATTTGATCCCCAGAACCATACACACACAAAAGAAAAACAAACTAAACCTTTCTTTTGAGTTGAATTATTAAGATGTTGATCAAAGAAGTGTATCATTAATTTTGAAAAATAATCACCATAAAGCTTTAGTGAATATATATCCCTCAGTAACATCTGTGTAATTGCATAGTTTTTTAATTAGTTCTTATTTCATGGATGAATTTATTTATGCTAGGGCCTTGGCAGAGAGAATCAAGGTTCAGCATCATTTCTATTTGTATGAGTTCTCTCCATATTGATTTCCATAGTGGTTGCACCAGTCTGCACTCCTATCAACAATGGAGAAGGGTTCTTTTCTCCCCACAACTCCATCAACATTTGTTATTGGTTGATTTCTTGATAGCAGCCATTCTTTGTGGGGTGAGGTAGAATCTCGGTGTTGTTTTCATCTGAATCTCTTGAATGACCAGTGATGTGGAACATTTTTTCATGTATTTAGTTGATGCTTTTACTTGTTTGTTTGAGAATGTCTGTTCATTTCAGATGCCCATTTTTTCAGGTCTTTATATTTGGGGGGCTGATTTTTTTTAAAATTCTTTATATATTCTAGATAATAGTCCTTTGTCTGAGGAGCAGCTGGTAAAATTTTTTTCCCACATTGTAGGTTGTCTTTTAGTTCTGTTGATGGTTTCTTTTGCAGTGCAGAAGCTTCTT